GTTAATTCAATGCCTGAAGCAAAGCTATATATTATTGTTAACTATACAGATAACTGGAGTGCTTATACCAAGTTTACTTAAATTTTACTTTGCAATTAAAGCGTCTGTTTTACATATACACCTGTTTAATTTTCCCAATGTTGTCTTACCCCATTACAAGGCTGAATTTTAAGATTTTTATCTCACTACTGGAACACTGAATTGCAGCCAATAAAAAGGAATGTACTCTCTAAGTGTATCAGAATGTGTCCTGTATGTTAAATGTATTAATGGATTACTTCAGCTAAAAGTCCAATGGGAAGTCTATTTTTACAGGGTGAAAAAATTCAGGGTAAGAATAGTCCTCACCAAAATTTAAATTTTTCTTTATGCAAGTTAAGTATCCCATCATTATATGACAGTTTTCCTTTCTGATGCTGACAGAACCTTGGACTGGCAGGAAACTTGGAAGTTTTGATTAACAACCTACTGGAGCTCTTGGCAATGTGCCTGAGTGTTTCAGATTACTGCTGCTATAGAAACTCCCCTGTGTGACTGCATTGCTTTTCTTTTTCCTTGAATTTCTAAAACATTGATCATCAATGGTGTTTTTTATTTTTTTGGTCCTTTTTTCAGTTTGCTCCACTTAGCAGCAACTGCTGCATTACTGCTCTACCCTTGCTTAGTGAAGAGCACCACTACACAAACAGCTATCATTACAGATAACAGGCATCATAAAAGAGTTTGCCATATGCCTTGTCAGCTGGCCAAACTGATGACACAATTGTTTTACAGCAGTCTGTGTAGTTCTTAGGAGACATATACATGTTGGGAAGTAGCAATTCATTAGCATTTCTTTAAGTGTAATACTAGTTAACATATTTTTAAAGACTGATTAAGTATAAGCTTAATATTAGCTTAATTTTAAATTGCTACTTCAAAATTGTAATTTTAACTTATCCAAGAGAGAATGATGTACTGGCTAGAAAATCACACAAAAATAATTTATTTTCACAAGACATTCCTTTCTTTCAGTTCAATTTTTCAGTGCTTGCTCTTTTCCTCCTGTCCCAGGATAATATAAATGACAGTAACATGAGGAATGAGCTCTCTCCTTTTCCAGAATAACTGACAGTCTTTAGTGGGAGCAGAAGGACCAAATGCACTTTCCATTGCTACCCAACTCAATGGAAAAAAAATAGAAAATTGTGAAATGATGTAGCGTGCAGTGCCATACTGCTGTGCTGGCCAGGGTGCCTCACATAGTTCATGCCAGCTACACCAAAAGGCTATCCTCACTATCAAAATGACCATATCTTGATGGTCATGACTGAGTACTGTGTGCATTTCTGGGCACCACAGTACAAAAAAGACATTAAACTGTTGGAGAGTGTCCAGAGGAGGGCAATGAAGATGGTAAAGGGCCTAGAGGGGAAGACGTATGAGGAGCGGCTGAGGTCACTGGGCCTGTTCAGTCTGGAGAAGAGGAGGCTGAGGGGGGACCTCATCACAGTCTGCAACTTCCTCGCGAGTGCAAGTGGAGAGGCAGGCGCTTACCTATTCTCCGTAATCACCAGTGATAGGACCTGCAAGAACAGTGTCAAGCTGAGGCAGGGGAAGTTTAGGCTTGACATCAGGAAGAGGTTCTTCACCGAGAGAGTGGTCGCACACTGGAACAGGCTTCCCAGTGAAGTAGTTACTTCTCCAAGACTGTCTGAATTTAAAAAGCAATTGGACCATGCACTTAAGTCACATGGTCTAAACTTTTGGGTAGACCTGTGCGGTGCCAGGATTTGGACTTGATGATCCTTATGGATCCCTTCCAACTTGAGATATTCTGTGATTCTGTCATCTTCTGCACACATTCATCCTCTTCATCCTCACACTCACACCTGCAACCATTGTTTCAAGAAGCCTTGGGTGTAGTCCACGGGCACTCACCCCTATAAGGCAGCTGCTGCTAGGCTAATCCTGCAGTTCATTCCTGGTGCCCTGCCTGCCAGAGACCACTTGGAAAGGGAACAAGCTGCATGCTGGAGAAGCTGTTTCAGCAGAGAGAGTATTTCTTGGCATCTTACTTGTGGACATATGGAGAAAGTCTGACCTGACCAGGCATAGCAGGACTGCATGACCTCTATGTGAATAGATCAGTGGAAGATCCACCACCATCAGGATAGCTCACATCATTCAGCTCACAACTTCCTCTGAGGGCTCCCAGGATAAAAGGGCTTCCAGAAGGCTACTGCAGGCAGAATTACCTGTCCTAAATTGAGTGTAGGTGAGATGCTGAGCACCTTGCCAAAACATTGCAAGGCCAACATGTACAGCTGGCTGACATGTGGCAATAAACAAACCCTTTGAGTTGGACAAGTCACATTGGTACAAGCAAATCTTTTCATTAACTGGACAACTGCCCAGCCTGCATGGGCTCAGAGCAGGTAAATGTCTGAGCATCTTCTGCTGTCAAGAAAGTCAATGAAAGCAGCCTCCAGAGGGCTGAGAAACATCTTGCAAATGGGTTCAAAGCAAGAGAATGATTTTAAAAATAAAGCTACACAAAATGCACTTTTTTGCACTTTTCTTTCAAAGCAATGCCATCAGAGATCGGATTACCTTGAGTCTCAGCTGTTTGGAAAACTGGTTACTTTTCATCTTGTCCTTCAGAATTTAAAATTAGCACATAAAAAGCAAGACTCTAGGATCACAGTTTTCAAAAGAGACTTCTAAATATTGCTGTAGCTTCTGATATCCATTTCATATCTGCTCAAACTTGCTGAAAGCCTGAAGCAGAAACTGAGATACAGATAAGTGTAAATCATCTCTACTATGTACAGACAGTATTCAAGCTAAATCCAAACCAGAAATTGATTTTGTTATCTTCTTCACTGATCAAAGCTTACAAAGAAATGGTACACTGTATCATTAAGGTCCTTATCATTTGCTAGAGTTATTACAAGACAGAAGATTTACTGTTATGATTGCAACTCTGATAAACATACAAATAAACAAAACTTGTTTTAAAATGAGAAACTATAGAATTGTTCTCAAGCAAGTTAAGACAAAAGTAAGTCAGATTTATTTCATCCATAAAAATAAAATAAAATAAAATAAAATAAAATAAAATAAAATAAAATAAAATAAAATAAATAAAACAAATTACACACCCATACAACTCTAAGGAGAGGCCTCCTATACTACATAGTCCTGATGGAAATCAAATTTATCTCCTTATTGTCCTTTCACTAGGACACACAAAACCATATAAATTGGCAAGAACCTGTGACCAAGCGTCCCTCTCAAAGCAAGTCCAACTGAGTTCTGCCTACCTCCAAGGAGGCTCTTATAGCCTCTCTAGATATCTGCTCCAGTCATTTTGCCCTTCGTAATTTTTTCCCCTACTTAGTCTTAATTTCCTGTGTTTCACTTTGTTCTGGGGCTTCTGGTCCTTTCAGTACATACCTCTGAGAAGAATTTGATAAGAATGCCCTTGATAGTTGAAGACAGCAATAAGACCTCCTATCAGCCATCTTTTTTTATGCTGAACGAACCCATTTTTCCCAGCCTCACTTTACACATTCTCATACGTACTGCAGTTCTCCTGGTAGACCTCTGCTGGACTTGGTCCAGCATGTCAGTGCTTTTCCTTTTCTGGGGAGCCCCAAAATGGTCATGGTCCTCCCAGTGTGGTCTCAAAAGTGCCACATAAATGGGAAGGACTTGCTGGCTACACTTGCTAACATTGACTGGGACAGGACTGCCTGTCTTTGTTGCAAGTGCATGCTGTTGACATGCACAAGTGATTGTCCATGAGTACCTTCAACACCTACAAAGCTGCTTGCTAGCCAGTTGGCTTCCCAGTCTATGCACAGTGTTATCTCTCCTGAGATGCAGGACTGCCTTTACTTCTGCAATAAAACAAGGGGTAGCATTTACAGTTTTAGAGTGGAATCTGGGTTATTTCAGTCTCTTCCATACCACTCAGCTTTGAAGAAATAGCAGCATTACATATTGCCATCTATTCTTTTACAACATGTGGTGTATGGGGGGGGGGGAATGACTGGATAAAACTGCAGTCAATAATATAAAATTTAGAATAAAGGTTCCAAACCTCAAATATATAATATAAAAAAGGTATACAGTATAGTAAATTAGTATAAAGAAATATGCATTACTACTGAAATATCCCACTGTGTTGTACTTACAGCCTGAACATTTAAAAAGGCAGCCAATGTAACTCCTAGCATCAGTACTTTCCATGAAGAAAAGATTGAATTTTTAAAATGTTCAGGAAGAAAACATTGAAATTTATTTTCATGAGGGAAAAAGGAATAGCCATCAAGAATGGATTCAGACAGCCATTGGGGTCTTGGAGTCTATTTTTCTGCCTTCTCATTTCTAGTGTCTGAATAATATCATATCACAACTCAATTCTTTTGAAGCAGAAAAAAATGGGAAAATTCATCTCAGGATTGCTCACATTGCAGCTGAGGTGTATCATTTTCACAAATGGGAAGAAAATGTACAGTATCAGCACATCAGGACCTAAACATGCCATTATCCCACAGCATCCACAACACATCTGATGGTCAAGAAAAGAGGAATGACATGTAAGAATTAGCTGCTGCACGACAATCTTTCATTGCAGAGAATCAGTCCTTCCCAATGCTCAAATCAAACTATATACATGAGACCAGAAGGTACTAAAGAAATGGGGAGAGATAACCTTATAGTGAAATAATGGACTAGAAGGAGTGATAGTCCAGTATTGATAAGTTATATAGGAAATTTATGAGATGATTGACCACAAGATATTAACACCTCCAGAAGAGAACAGGAGATGGTGTCCTCCTCCTTCTCATATCTCATTAACCATTTCAAATGCTGTGGTGTAGCAGTGGAGTCTCTGCTCCTCATTTCCAGAGACACTGTGCATCACTGAAACACTGTATTTACACATACATAGAATAAAGCCTCTCTGCTCCTCCTTGCAAGGGAACTGCGGCTACAGAATAGCAATTTACCTCTCCATTTTTCTCTTCCCTCTTTCCTTCTTTTCCTTCCACCCTCCAATCTGGTTATTTTTGGATTGCCAGTTGGGATTATTGCTCTTTTTCCCTGCTAAAATAAAAACAAACAACAGTTACACTTCAGATTCTGTGCTTAAGCACGAGATCTGTCTCCAGCATTAAACAGTCACATTTTCTTGCCTGAGGTGCAATGCAATCTCCTATGACACCAACTAAAGTAAGCCTTGCAAGTGAGGGAAAATTCTGCTTCTGGATTCAGATACAGTTTTCTGACTGCACTGGTAACTACCTACCCATGCAGAGTGCTGCCCTGAGAACTCAGCAGGGGCTGACATTTGCCTAGTCTTAGAGTCTGAAAAATTAGCCTTTTTGAGGTGAACTACAACAGCTATTCAGAATATACACAGTCAAATTAGAATATCTGTATTCTAAAGCAGCCTTTCTGTTTGATACATCTTAATTTCAGACCACTTTTTACTGCATTTTGCTTTTTTTCCAAATTCCTTAAAGCTTACTACTTTTAAATGTTAAATTTGCAAGGAACTTAGCACCTACAAAATACTATACGATGTAGTAGTGTGTCTCACCTCTAAATTTTAGTCTGAAGGATTGAAAATGTGACACTTTTGCAGGAGGCAAAGGAAAACACTTCCCCCCCTCCCCAGTCTCATATTGCCACACATGAAGGCCCAGATTAAATCAATTTCAAGGTTTCTTAATGTAGGTAATATCAGACATTCCCCAAATTAAAGAAAAATATGAAAAAAAGTGTTATTCAAATGCTCATTTCCCCTTCTTAATTTTTCTTCATCAAAGTGCTCTCAACTATAAAAGATTTCCAGTATGTTAAAAAAAAATCCATTTTACTTTGCAAAATTCAATATGGCAAACAGCTAACAGGATTTGAAAGGAGACGAGACTAAGTATTACAATGAAAATCATTGCTTTCTCACTCTGGAGAATAAGGAAATTAGTATATACATCATTTTTCCTACTTTTCCATATGCTGATTATAAAGGGATAAATTGGGTGGAGTCCTAAGATTTTCGGCAGAGCAAGGCTCAAACGTATTGTGGGATTAAGAACTGCTTAAGAAGACGGTAGAGAAGACAAATGTCCTTACAACACTGGAAGAAAAAAGAAAAAGCTTCCATTCTCCATGAAGTAGAGCAATGAACAAACCCTTCATCTTTCTGAAAGGGATTCTCCTAATAAAGCACTTGACTCAGAAACTTAGAAAAGGCATCTTTCAAGATATAGCAGTCTAAATATCATGAATAAAAATTATCCATTTACAGCAGGGTCTCTGCACAATCTGTTTGCAACTGCTTTCTGATAGAATGTAACTACTACAAGGCCATTGGCTCAAAGGAGACAAGTTTTAGACTGGCAGCTGCTAACCTGAAAAATATCTACAATGTTCACGGAAACAGTTATATTTCAAACCAACATAATCACCTCATGTAAACAAATAACAGGATGTGATCTATATTGTTAGACTTAAGAGTTCTCTTGGAAAAAAAAAAAAATCATTATATGTACATAGCTGTTAGTGAGCACTCAGTAAGGGGACTGATTACGATGGAATTCTCACTATTTTAAAGACTTAAAGCACCACGTTTAAAACAATAACCTTTAGGAATACATACCCTTCCACAGGCGTTTTGTGGGCCCTGCCATGTACTATTACAGCCTTACTGTATGCATGCATAATTTTAGCAACTAGAGTTTGACACATAACTTTGCATAAATTAATGTTTGAAGATTCTGACATGTTCTAAAACATTTTGTATGTTCAATTTATTTATTCTTGAAATAAGATTACCAACCACTTCCCTGGTGACACTTCCTCCTCTCCTGTGATGGTGGTTACGTTACAGTGAAGTCTACAGCCATATTAAGCTGAAGAATTCAGTCCAACTATCTGGCTAAGTACCTGACACAGTATTCCAGTTTGATAGTAAGTGTAAGTGTCATCTCTGTGTTCTCCAGCTGTGCTTCCAGAGGGTCAGTTAAATAAAAGATCATACAGACTTTATCATACTTGAAGTTTATGAAAACTTTGTAACTGCATTTGAGCTAACATAAGATCTTTCATTTGTAGGTTTTTAAGACTGGTATCCCGATTTGGATATCCTCAGCATATCTGAAGCTCAACAAAGGTGATTCCTTTCAACTTAACCACTGCTGTCAGAAAATGAACATAATATTTTTGTTATTTATAACCAGAACTGAAGGTGTGTCTGTATCAACAATAAGGCAGTTATCTGCAAGCTGAGTCAGAAGTCCACATAACACCACACAGTTGCAGTTGTTAAAGTCTCTGGAAGCAGCATGGTTGTCCTGGTAGGACTTGTTTGCTCAGGTACGTTGTTGCACGGTAGAAGGTATGTCTCACCAGCTCCTTCCCTTCATGATGGTGCAATCATCTCCTCCATCACTGTTTATAACTCTATTACACAAAGTTTCGTCAGTTAGCCTCTTGTTCTTCTCCCACTTTCTTAGGGCTAATAATGTATTGTTTATTTTATTACATTACTTTGTCAATAATAGAGTGATAGGAAAAGGAGTAATGGTTTTAAAATAAAAAAGTATAGATTTATAAGGAAGAAATTCTTCAAAGGGTGATGAGGCATTGGAGCAGGCTGCTCAGAGAAACTGTGGATGCCCCATCCCTGGAGGTGTTCAAGGCCAGGTTGGATGAGGCTTAGAGCAACCTGGTCTAGTGGGAGGTGTCCCTGCCTATGGCAGTGGGGTTGGAATCAGGCGATCTTTAAGTCCCCTTCCAACCCAAAGCCATTATGTGATTCTATGATTCTAGGATTGTCAGGAGCAAAAAAGCAAGGTATATATCCATCACTGTTATATTGCAATTAAGTGCCCAAATTTAGGGATTGGAAAAAAATCAAAAGCAAATATAATGCTTATTAAGTCTAATAAATAATTAAAACTCCCCAAAATAACTTCAGTGAGGTTAGTAAGTCAAGTTCTGAAAAGGTATGGGATACCATCCCACTGTTTCTGTAAGCTCACTGTGCCCTCTGTTGATCATTACAATATTCTTTACAATTATGTGGTGATGCATTCTTTTCTAAGGACCCTTAGTCTTTTCAGGGCAGTTTGCAACTAGTGAGCCAACAAAACACAGCTGCACAGGTAAAGACCTTATGGTTACAGTGCCCTTTCTTATTTTATGCTGAGCTTGGAAAAATGCACAGTGAATAGTGCAGCAGCTTGCAGAAAGAAAATGACTGTTTAATAGTTAAAACATCTGAACATTTCCCTGAAAACCTGCATTCTTTCTCTTTAACTACAGAATTGCTACATGGCACCAAATTAGAGCAAAGAATATCAACCAGTTTTTCTCATATACAGGATGCCCTGGACAAGACTTTTAGTGTAATTTGTCAAAGTGCTCAGAACTCAGTACACCATGGAATTAGTGGACTTGGTACTTTGACTACACGATGCTGAATAATTTGGAATAAAATGGACCTATAAATTCATTTACACATGCACTCCAATATTATTATAGACATAGAAGTACTAGTGGAATATAATTCTTATGCCTCAGATACATAGGAATAAATACAACATTCACTTACATGCATTGAAATGGCCATAACTTATCAGTTATGCATTCCCCCCCTTCCAAAAAAAAAAAAAAGAAAAAAAGAAAAAAAAGTATTCTGGAAGGAAGAGAGGGATCTGAACATATTTCCAAGGTGTATTCTCACACTTATTGAGTTTATCTGAGGAATTACAGAAGGTCAGAATTTTACTTCCTTTACTTTACAGTAGGACAAACAATTTGTTCTGAGAGTTTGAAAATGTTAAAGATTGAAGGATATCACTTTCTAAAAGTATTTACAGAATTTCATTTGTTACATAACAGTTTCTGCCATTTTTTCCAAAAGCTCAAAGTAGCTACACCAAACTTTAATTTCTGTCACATTCTTTTTTATAGCCCAATTTGTTCAAGCTTATTTGTTCAAGCTATTGCTACTTATGCTACACATCTTATTCACCTTCCTATCAGAAACTCTGCTGGTTGCAGTCCAGACACAAATAGTGTTGACTGATATGTGACAGATAAGTCCATCAATACATTATTAAAAATAATAATAATAATATAAAAGCCTTAAAACTTCTACTGCTGTTCTTAAACATCTGACTGGCGGAAGGGTAGAACTGACTAATATTATGCTCATGTTTTGCATTTTATGCAAATCCTAAATTGATTGTATACAAAGATTTTTTTTTTTTTTTTTTTTTTTTCTGTTGAAAATTTATTTGCTCTCATCCAGAGCCACCATTCCCTTTTGGATGCCTTTTCATGCAAAACGTCGTTCTACTGATCTCCTGCATACATGTCTTGCCACTTGGTAGGCTGTTTCTGCACTTCAAGGCTTAGTGTTTTGCTACATCTTCCATAGTTTCCAGTTGCGAACTTTACATTTATGCTATAGGGTGTATTTGCTCCAGCTGCTTTTCCTCCTTCATCTTTCTAGTGTAAGTATTCTCTGAGACTGTCTTCTGTCTAATGCTGTCATCCTGCAGACATTTATTTGCATTTTACAATATTTAAAATTTTTTACAATTGTTACTTGAATGTCCAAATTTGCTATAGTTTCTGCTGAGTCCAATTTACTCTGTGCAGATTATAAAAAGGTGTTTATTTTGTCAATGTGCTTTTCTGTCTCCTGTCAGTGTTTAAGAGTTGAAGGTCAATTCATATATTCTCAAATATTACCAAACACAAACATTTTTTTTCTTTTTCCCTATAATTCTCTTTCAGATATAATATTCTTTTAGCCTATAAAAGTGCATTAAAATGTTTTCCTCACTTTGCTAAGAAGACATCTTTCATACTGTAATTAGTGAGTTCCTTCCTCTAGAAGTTCCTTGTTTTTTCTTTCTCATGACTGCAACACCAGAAACCCTACTGCCATCCCAAATCAAACAAACAAAAACAAACAAGATGATGAAAACACATCCACTATCTCAAAAACCTTGTACTCTGCTGCTGTACATGCAAGGATAAAAAGTTTCTTTCAAAAATAATAAAAAAGACAATTTTAGAAAAGACTT